TGATGTGGCTGTCTAGTTATTTGCCGACTAAACTGCCACATCCACTTTTCAGTTAGTCAAACTTATATGTATAGGCAAAGTTACCAAATTGTAACAAATGTTGAAGTTTGGGGACGAGCTGCAAACAAAGTTTAATTTATTAACTTACAACAAAATGACGTTTAATGGCCAACGTGAAATTTTATTAAAAGTTCTGTCCATCAGTGTTTTTAACCTAACATTATCTGGTGGATCTGGGATTAGGATGTTCTAAATACTAGCTTATCCAAAATTCCTAATGAATTATCTAATGTTGTGACGGGTGATGTTTATTGCAGGCTGCAGTTTCTTCTGGATGGTTGTAACAGGAACATTTTCTGGCTGCTGGTCTCTTCGTGTATATAATGGAACAATTAGTTGAAGGGAAGAGAGAGCCTTTTTTCAGGTTGGAAAACATCCTCGGTATGTTTTAGGATTATGTGTTGGGTTTTATGCTAAAACTTGTGGTGAAATTCGGTATTTAGAAGCATGAAATGCCTGTGCCAGCGTAGATGATCGAATTGGAACTCAGTGACTGTTAACCAGTTAAACTTAGCTGAAAGAGACGTGAAAAATGTGCATAACTTGTTTTGCAATTTGTGCCCCGTTCTTATTTTTAACTTGCAGTCAGTTGACTGAATCGGTTTAAATCGATCCCTGATGTGTCAGAACGATCACCTGTATCTAGACCATCCCGAGATGAACGCCAATTCAGGTCAGAACGTTCCGTATCTAAAGAAAATGAACAAGTTAGTTTTCAAATCCTTGTTAGGACATTTGAATAACGCAAGTGAAGTGGTCATTTAACAGAATGTCAAGTAGAGTTCTTTCCCCTCTCTCCTCATAGGGTCTTTTCAGACAAGTTTTTCTATGAAAATCTCACAGGAGTGCTCTGTAAATTATTGACAAAAATCGCTCGAGGGTTAGAAATTACGAGGCATTTTGGTTTCTACAAATGGCCATCACTCGATTTTTAGGGGGGTGAATCATCCTTGCCGAGCTGGCTCTGCTCATCCACTTTCTTGCACACTTTGGGACAAGCCGATTATGAGTTAGCTCGTCTCCAAAAAGTCGGCTCGTCTCTTCACGCCAACTCATTTATTGATGGGGGCGAGTTGCTCATTCGGCGAACTTTTTTTTATTTTTTTTAAATTTAAATGAAATTTTTTTTATTGTTTTTCCGGATCGTAATGAAGTCACAAAATAATAAATGGTGAAATTGAAAATATTAATTTTTCAAAAAATTAATTACTATTTGGAACTTAAAAAAGTTAAAATTTGCGTAGATCGAACCAAAGTAATATTACATAATTTGTTTCAAAAGTAAAGTTTAAATAACTCTGAAATAATTGCAAACAATGCTCCGCTCTGCACAACTCTAAAGGGTCGAATACTACAACAAGAATAAAAATCATTGTTTAATTTGATTCATGCACTGTACAAAGGCTAATGGAATGTTTATTAATGAAAACATCACAAAATTTAAATTGGAATAATGGGTTTCGCATTGCATTATAGAAGAAAAATTGTTTAGAGGATAAAAAATAAAACGCATGCTGTCCAATCAAAACAATGTCATTTTGCACTTGATTAAAAAATATAGTAATCTCATATTATAACGTGTCACATATCTTAGACTAGAATAATGTCGTTGAAAATCTAGGTGTAACCAAAAAAAATTAACATGATCAATAATATATTCAGGTACATAAAGAAAATTTTGATGATATCGACGTTTATGTCTTCAAACTTCAGATTTTGCCCTTCCAATTTTACATAATTATTCAATATAACGTCCTACATTTCACTACTATTGAAGAAAACGTCATTACTTTACATTTTTTTTAACATTTTCACCCTTATTTCCACGTTTCATTGCCTAAAAAGTCATTTTCATCAATTTTCTCAATTAAAAATTGTGAAATCACAAATATACATTTCTGTTTAAATGAAACAAAAATAAAAAAAGAATTAATTACAATTATAGTTCCAAATATTTAAAAATGTGCAAATGAGTCTCAAATAAATTATTAAAGAAAAAATTTGAGATTATGGTAGCAATTAGTTCTTTATTTTTTATTTAAATAGGAGAGTATATTCATCATTTCATAGCCTTTTATTGAGAAATTAAATGAAAATATATCGTTCATTCAATTAAAATAGATTAATGTGCACGTTCATTCAATTAGTCATAGTTCAACGTGCACATTAATCTATTTTAAT